CACTGACTGGTGGTGGATAGAGCTTACCCCTACAGTGGCTGGTGATATTCGCAAACCCTCCCCCATCCCGCTCTTAACAATCAATATTAGATGCTTGTCTTCCACCACTCATTCCTGACAAATCTGACTCTGGCACAATTATCAGCAATAAAGGTGCGGCATTTATGTCCGTCCTGGACCCTTATCAAGTCGTGATGGGGTCCAGGATGGACCGAAACGTCGTGATAGGGCCCAGGATGGACCGAAACGTCGTGATAGGGCCCAGGATGGACCGAAACGTCGTCATAGAGCCCAGGATGGACCGAAACGTCGTGATAGGGGCCCAGGATGGACCGAAACGTCGTCATAGAGCCCAGGATGGACCGAAACGTCGTCATAGGACCCAGGATGGACCGAAATGTCGTCATTTTCATTACACTTCATACATGTAAAGTGGTTAACTCTGCAACTACCCAAAATACACAAAAAACACTTTACTTTAACGTCTTCCCGGCCTGAAGAACTCACCTTAAGAATCCCATCTTGGCCTCAGTAGCCCCGAATCATTTTCAGGGATCAAGAGGCCACACCGTCGCGCCTCCGGAAGACGTCCATGTCCCGCTGGACGTCTCGAAGGACGCTCTCCACTAAGAGGGAGGACGTTGAGAGGCAGCTCACAAGGGGGGATCTCTAGGGTGGTGAAGAGAGTCCGCTGAACACCTCCGTTACGAGAGTCCGCTGAACACTTCCGTTACGAGAGTCCGCTGAACACTTCCGTTGCTCCCTTGGGCGTCTCCTCTCCAATATTCTGCCGAAACAAACGCAAGTCATTATTATTAACACGTCCCGTTTATTTTGATAATTCCTGTTATCGGGGAATTATACTTAGGGTAGTATTGTGGTCCCTCTAAGGTCTACTGCTGAACTTATACCCAGGATGCAACCGTGCGATATTTGTCTATCTCCCGGGTGCCTATTTTACTCCTTGGTGAACAGAGGCATCTGGTAAACGTGCCCAGTGGTTTCTGTCCCGCCTGGGGATTGAACCTGGGGTCCCTCAGTTGTGAACCGCCGACGTAGATCATTGTGTTACAAAATGGGCGCTAAACGTAGAGGGTAGATTCGTTTTGCGACTCGGAGTAGACTGTTGACTTACGTGCCTCCGTAACTACGATATTGAGACCATTTCTTTGACCTTGTGTACTTGTACCTTGTGTCCTTGTACCTTGTGTACTTGTACCTTGTGTCCTTGTCTCCATGTGTTCTTGTGTTCTATATCTCTAGTCTCAATATTAATGTCTTGATTTCAAGCGTTTATTCTAATTAATATCAGCACTAAATTGTGTCATTAAGATTACTATAAACAGGATGAGTTTTCAGAAACGGAAATCTAACTCATTCTAAAATTGTTCTTGTATATATATATATATATATATATATATATATATATAAGGTACAACTCTCCTAAACACGAGAGTGATGTATACAACTTTAGAGCACTTTCCCACCAGGAGACTCGAATCCTGGCTGGCTAGGGTTCGAGTCTCCTGGTGGGAAAGTGTTCTAAAGTTGTGTATATATATATATATATATATATATATATATATATATATATATATATATATATATATATATATATATATATGTATACTCTAACCCAGATGATGTTCAGCGATTTATACTGATAAATGTTAAATTATCATAACCCCCCCCCCCTCTTCAGGGTATTGGAACCCACTAATTTGGGTATGGAACTCGATCTCTGAACAATGATTTAAATGTTGTTAAATTACAATTAACGATAAATAAACATTATTAAATACTTATGATATTCTTTCAGCTATTCTTTTCCGAACTATCCACTCGTAAAGTGACACCCATCTATTGACGTCTATTGAAGTCATACTCGTACGAGGGGGGTATGGGGACAATCTGGGTTGTCTTGACGGGTCTGTGATCTTAAAATATTTAAGAGTTTCTTCATCTTAGATCTGGCTGTTTCCTCAGCTCTACCAGGGTATCCAACATGGATAGCATCACTTGTACACAAGATAGAGCACAATAGGCTCTGTAGAGAGTTGGGAGGGAGGCGGAGCGTATGAGCTGGAGCTTGTCCCTCTCAGACATAACACGGTGAGTACAAATACACACACACACACACACACACACACACCAAACTACCTCCAATGACGAAGACATCTTACAAACTATGACAATAAAAGCCAACAACTGTGTGAAACAACCAATTCCTCCCACCTCCCCTCCCCATCTCCTCTTCCATCTCCCTTCGGTCAACCACCACCACCCCTCCCCCCTCCCCATCAACCACCACCATCCCCCCCCCCCCTCCCCATCAACCCAACTACCATCCAGAGGCCGTCATCAACGAGGCCTCCCAGAGCTAAAATGAGCAATAACAAAGTTTCGCTATTTCCTTAATCACGTACGAATCTCCTTTGAAAAATGTTTCTAATTTCGCTGTCCCAAAAAGGAAAGAGGAGAGAAGCGAGCGAGGAACTTC